ATGGATTCCTCAGCCTCCTGCAGGCGCTGGGCAAGCTTTTTCCTTTTGTGAAATGATGTTGAAATTGGTTAAAAGGAGACAATAGAACAGAGTAAGAATGTCAAAGACAAAAGTGAAGCAACATACTTGGCCTCCTCCAGCTCCTCAGTGCGCTGGATGGCATCAGTCTCATATTTGGATCTCCACTGAGCCACCTCACTGTTGGCCTTGGACATGCCTCTCTGCAGTTCAGCCTTGGCCTCCTGCTCCTCCTCAAACTGCTCTCTGAGCAGGTCACAGTCATGGCGGGCAGACTGGACAGCATGGGCCAGGGCATTCTTGGCCTGTAAAGGACAACGTCAGTATCAGTCAGACTATTGTGTTATTGAGTTAAGGAGCCAAACGATGGAGTGGTGTTTTTATACCTTAACTTCCTCCTCCACGTGTCTCTTGAGCTCCTCAATCTGCTGAGTGAAAGCCTGCTTGCCTCTGGTCAGCTGTGAAACGAGAGCCTCTTTCTCCTCCACTTGGCGAGCCAGTTCACCTGTGACAGGGACATTTTCATTAAAACTAGATATTTTAAACATCTTTTACAAAACCTTTTTAATTGTAGGTCACTTACCACCCTCTGTCTGAAGTCTTGCTTTCTGTGCATTAATGTCATTCAGCTGGCGAACATTCTCATCGTTCTTGGCTTTGAGTTCACTCAGTTGGTCCTCAAGAGTTCTGCACATTTTCTCCAAGTTGCCCTACACAAAATATGGTTTTAACATTTTTGCCATTTATATGAAGTACTTTACATGTTTTTAGGTGTACTAAATGCTGAAAGGGAAATTAGTGTCTTACCTTTGCTTTGGCAACAGCCTCCATGTTGCTTGAGAGGTCATCGATCTCCATCTTGTACTCACTCTTCTCCTTCTCCAGCTTCTGCTTGACACGCTGCAGGTTGTCGATCTGCTCTCCCAGCTCAGCAACGCTGTCGGCCTGCTTCTTGCGGAGAGCTGCTGCAGTGGCTTCATGCTGCAGGGTGGCTTCTTCAAGGTCACGACGCAGCTTCTGGAACTCAGCCTCACGCTTCTTGTTCATCTCAATCTGAGCAGCTGTTGCTCCACCAGCTTCCTCCAGCCTCTCACTGATCTCCTCAAGCTCCCTGGAGAGGTCAGCCCTCTGCTTCTCTACTTTAGCACGAGCAGCCCTCTCAGCCTCAATCTCCTCTTCTAGCTCCTCAATGCGAGCCTAGAAATTAATGATTGACAGTAATTATGAGTTAGGTAAGTAGAAGRAAACCAATTWCATGTYAGAMAAAAATATGGAAAATACAGAAATCCAATTTTACCTGGAGCTCCTTGATCTTCTTCTGAAGCTGAGCACCAAGGGACTGTTCATCCTCAATCTTGCTGAGGAGTTG